ATTGGTGTATCAATCACTTCACCATGCCATGTCCATAGGATATAATTCTTCATTATCCCATCACATAAAAGATGTTCCCGTATTGTCTCTAGTGTGTGTACTCTCCCATTAACGCAGCTTAACGCATGGACAATACAATTTTCCATTAACCTTGGTGCCATTGTGTTCGGCAAATCGCAAAAATTCTTCAACTCCATTCTCATACTCTTGTGAAATACAACTTGTATTTACCCAACTTCGATCCATTTTGGAATTGGAGTCTACAAATGAGAAACCCATAAAACGATTATTACTAATAATCGTTATCTCTAATGAAATCTATACCAAAGTAGATTAATTTGTAACGAAATTTCAACAGAATTTCGTCTATTTTTTGGTCAAAACCAAATTTGTATAAATTGAAATTATAGAGTTTTCATTGTTACTACCATCACTTATATAACTACATTGTTATATGTAGTTTTCGTAATTCACACTTCATGATTAATTTCTAACAAAAATCCGCAGAAGTTTCCTTTGTTTTTTGGCAACAATTTTAAATGACACAAGTGAAACCCGACAATAAAAAGCCCCACGGGCATATTCAAGCAGTTCAAGTATCATTGTACACATCATCAATACATTGAAAAAAACTATAATATGACTAAGAATTGAATCAACAGCTAACGGCAAATGACTAACAATCTCTACCTATGAAATGTAGTAAATAAAATTGTATGACTTTGCCCAACAAATATAAGTGCAACAACATCGTACCTGTGGTTTAAGGCAGCGATGAAGGTTCGCACCACGTAGAAACGGAGCAGCTGCCGCACCGGGGTGGAGGTGGAGGATGCAATGCGGCGTTAGGGTCGAGGCCGTGGTGAGCGGACAATGCAATGTGGTTGGAGGCCGCAATGCAATGCAATGGGGTGGTGGCGTTAGGATGCAATGCAATGTGGGTGGAGGTTGCTAGCTGTCGCGGTGGGCGACTAGCGTCACGGTGGAGGGTGGCGACTAGCGTCGCGGTGGGGTGGAAGCCGCAGTGGGGTGGAGGTGCCGGCAGCGGGGTGTCACGCGGTGCGCGGTGGCGACGTGAGGGAGGGCGTCCGGAGAGTCCAAATCACGGTGGTAGGTGGTGGTCGCGATGCCGGAGAGTAAGGGGAGTGGGCGCGATGTTGGAGAGTAAGGGGAGATACAAAAATGGTAGCCTATTAATGGGAAAACGGGGTTTCGACGTCGGTTATACCCACACCCGACATTGAAACTCGTTTTATCTCCAGTCATATATTTCAATCGATTGAAACGAGATTTAATCGATTAAAATAGTTCTGATCGGTCATAACTGGATTCTGATCGATCATCCTGACCCTGTAAGAGATTTTAATCGATTGAAACGTGTTTTTAATCGATTGAAAAACTTCTGATCTGATCGCTCATAATTAAAATCTGATCGATCACATTTGATTCTGATCGGTCATATTTGTAATCTGATCGGTCATAATGAGTTCAGAAGGGTTTTCAACGTCGGGTTAGGGCATAACCGACGTTGAAAGCCTACTTGACGTAGAATCCTGACACTTTAAGAGATTTTAATCGATTGAAACGTGTTTTTAATCGATTGAAAAACTTCTGATCGCTCATAATTAAAATCTGATCGATCACATCTGATTCTGATCGGTCATATTTGTATTCTGATAGGTCATAATGAGTTCAGAAGGGTTTTCAACGTCGGGTTAGGGTATAACCGACGTTGAAAGCCAACTTTCCACGTCGTGCATGCTAAAACGACGTAGAATGTGTCAAAATTCGACTTTCGACGTCGGTTTTTGACCAACCGACATTGAAAGCATGTTCAACGTCGGCTAAGATGTAACCGACGTTAAACGGCGACGTTGAAAGTATATTTTCTAGTAGTGGTAGTTCTAACCATCTTTCCCAACTTCAACATTAGCTTAAAATATCACACCATCTCTCAAAGATTAAAATTTTAAATCCAGATCACTGGAGCTGAGCAGGTAGCTGATGCACTATCAGTCACCCTTCACCATCAGATTATTTATAGGTTGCAAGATCACGCGATAAATCTTGCGCTACCATCCTATAAAGATGTAGCACTATTCATCTTGGCTAACAACCAAGATGAGACACCCTTCATAGTTTAGATCCCCAGAAACATTTCTCAACAAGAGTTGCAGAAGCTAATTTTGATGCAGTGGGTGACTAACTATGAAAAACTCCACATTAACCAGAAGCCTATCCAGTTCACAGAGGTGACCTTCAGAAGATCTGTAGACGGCATAGTTAAGACCATCTTCAAGAAAACTGAAGAAGTTCCTAGTTCGAGCACCTCAATCTTTCAATCTATGATGATATCGCCGGTCACCAAGGAGGACAAGATCCCCATTGCCAGCGTGTACCCTGACGGAAAACCTATCTTTACTGATAAGATAGAAGGACACTTTATCTGGGATGCTAACCCAGATATGTGCAATTCCGACTGTGACTATTGCGACCACACTAGAGATACCAGTGATAAGGAGAGCCATGAATCAGGTGATGAAGATGACGATTACAGAGGAGGATCATGTACCTCCTTTCTCTCCCAATAGAAGATTCAAACTAGGAAAAGGTCCATGGATAGGAATCCATCGTTAAGAGAAACCTGATCCCTCTTAGAAATATTAGCGATGCGCTGAAATTCTCAAAGAGAAACAATTTCTCGAAAACAGGAATGGTGCAGAACCTTTGTCAAGCCACCTCCTGTTGCTCCTTCCATCTCATGTATGATGATAAAACCTACGGCTTACAAGGAAGAATTTCCTCCTCTTTAGAGGAATGTTAATCTAGTGTCCAAAACAACAACTAAACCACATGTTGTTGGACAAGAAATTGGCCTTGATGGGAAGTCGAAACCCTTAAGCCAAGCCAAGGAAGTTCTTAACTGGAAAACTGAGAATGTCAGAACTCAGAACTCTATCCTGCAAAAGATATATCAAAAGATAGACAAGATCTTCACACACCTTGAAGAGACTAATGACAAACTCCAACATCTTAACTCTAATCTAAGGAAGTACTACAAGCAGCTTTCTTCAGAGCTCTCGAGGCTTGAAGAAGATTGGAAGAACACCATTTTTTAATAATTGTCTCACCTTAAAGAAAGGGAGATCAGAAGACTCAAGGCCCAGATCAAGGAGATGGATGATATTATCGAAGAGAAAGTCAAACAACAGAAAACAGAGAAGGGTCCTTATTCTTCCCTATTCACTTCAACTCCAACCTACTCCTTTTTTCAAAGCCCGACCTATTCATCATTCCAACACTCGTCTCCTTATTTCCAGCCATCACCTCAGATCTCCTGGTAATTACCCACAACCACTGCTTACAGGCCAACACAAAGACCAGACAAAGGCCTGAAGGTTATCACACCTTCTCCGGATTCTTCCTTTGAAGATCTACCTTCACCCAAAAAATAAGACCCGTTTGATCCAGGTTTCCAAGACTCTCAAGATTCATATTCTCAAATGGCTATAGAGTCATGTTCTACACTAACTTATGCATTGAGGTTTATGTATAAAATCAAAAAAGTTATTTAAAAAAAATTGTAACTTTTTATGTCAGTTACAAAAATAACCAACATAAAAAGTGTATTTTCTATGTCGGGTCATACCAAAATCGTCATAGAAAAGTGAAACTTTCTATGATAGTTACTACTATAACTGTCATTGAAAGTGGTCTTTCTATGACGGTTATTAACTAAACCAACATATAAAATTCACTTTCTATGAAGATTAAGGTAGCAACCATCATCCGTGCCTACTTCATATTCATTTCTCATTCTATTTTTATATTTTTTATGACGATTAGATATGCCACCAATATAAAAAGTGATTTTTTTAAAGTTATCATAAGAATTTAGGTAAAAAAATATTTTTTTTCTTTTGCATATATATCGGTTGATAAATCAACATAAAATGTTCAGCTGAGATAAAAAAAATTATCCCATAATAATTTTTTATTTCTTATTTCAATGTTTAACTAATAATGATTCTTTATCGTTACAAAAAAAATTATATATATATATATATATATATATAATAACTAAATTTATATAATTTTAAAAAAATTAAAAATGATTAATTAGTTTTTAAAATTTAAAGATCAAAATTAAGTTTAACTAATTATAAAAAATATTTATGTTTTAAAAATATTTATTTATAACAAAATTTAATAATATAAAGTAAATATTAATCGAAGAATTAATATTATGTTATAATAGTTTGTCCGCACTAATATATAATCTCATCATTTATAATTTTAGAAACGTTGTAATCACACGTATGTTCTTATGTTATTTTATTTATAGTAAACATGAAATTTTTCTAAATATGTATATATAAAGTTATATATCATTATTAGTCACGAACAGAAGAAGTCAGGAGAAATGCAAATCCTTCAAGCTGCTATCACGATCTGTCTAGTATTAAGGGTGTATGAGTTTATTATTATAGTATTATTAGGTGTTAGGAATTTAAATATGAATTCAAATCTTTAAATAAAAATTAAGTGACTTACGAAAGACTTTAATCTAATATGATATTATATTATTTTATGGTGTATATATATTTGACTTGTATCTCGTTCCTTGTGCTATATCTCACTTGTTAAGTGTTCCCACACTATGTGACTGAACTACTAAACCATATTTGCTTCGCTTCATTTTTCTTACACAGTACAAGTCATGGCCCCACCTTCAATCATAAAGAAAAGTATTCAGCAAAAGAAAATAATGTCAGATTGAATGCAAACAAAAATACAATGATAATATCTTCTAGTTTTAGCGTATAACACAACGGATATATATCCTATTTATTACACTCTCAATTATTATTTCTGGTAGAATTGAGAAGTTACAACATGTCCAAAATAAGGACTCGTTTATTTATACAACTTTCAAGAAAAGAAAAGCAAGTCAGATAAATGTAATAATGAGAAAAAATGATGTTTAGAATTGATCAAAATTAAATCTGTTTATCAGGCAAGCCATAGAGGTTTGATAGCTTGTCTGGACCAAGTCGAAAATCCAACGCAGATAAGGATTTTCGAAGCTGAGGAACTTCGTTGCCCTCATTGCGGTTGATCATATCAATCATAGAGGCCTGTAAGAGAGCACTATAGTTCTTTATGTTCTTAAGAGCATTTGGGTGACCCTCTGTTTTGGGAGATTTTCTCACACTGCCACTAGAGAAAAAAACTGGCGATAAAGATGCATTTGTGATCCCTTCATTCATGAAAAGTTTTGACCCAGAAGATGTGCTGCTACCACTATGTCCAGTTTCTTGACCCTGCTTCTGTTCTTTCACATTCTTCTGTCAATGCCAGAAATATACATGATTTATTATCTTTTTGGTCACTAATTAGTCCTTATGGTACTTTTTTTTTACACTAAAATTGCATTAACATTACCTAAAAAATGCAAGGTGAAAAATAGGTTTGAATCTTTTAATCCATTGAAAAATTACACATAAAATTAGGTATTTTATGTCGTCGACATGCTATGATCCGTCGGATTAAAAAGTTAAGTTTAAAATTTTATGATCTATTTATTTTAAAAATTTTATTGATCTTAAAAGATTAAAATATATGTTTGTCTTTGTTAATTTATTTTATAGATTTTTTAATTTCTCTAATACATTTTAATGGGATAAGTAAAAAAAATTTAATCTTCTTCAAAACCCGTATGCCTCAGTAAGATTTTTTTAAAGGATAAAGTTACTATGATGACAGACCTCTTTTGATGATTCTGCATTTTGACGGGGTTTTTCAGCAATTTGCTTTTTTTCCGATTCACTAGCTTCACTTTTACTTGTTTGAGATGGTTGCCCTCTTTTAGAAGCCCTGTCCCTAGATCATCAAAAGCACCGATAAACACTTCAATGTTCAGTCATATATAAATGCTTCATTCTGTAGCTATAAAAAAATAATAATAATAATAATAATAATTTACCTCTAAAATTTCACAAACTTTGTCCCACAATTTTTGTTTTTTCAAATTTTGCTATCCAATTTACAAAATATATCAAATTTAATATGGAAATAGAAAACTCACCACAATTTAAAACGATTGTATGACTTATTAATTTTTTATCTTCCAGTTCCATAATTTAGACAAATCACGTTTTTTGTATATCGGAGTTTAGAATTCGTGAAAAATTTCTTCGTAGATAAAACTTGGAAAAACAAAATAAAATTAAGCAAACTAATTAATAGCACACCTTTTGCCTCTCTTGGTTTGTAAGCGTTCGTCCTCATTTTTGTGGATTACTGGCAAAGCTGAAGGGTCACATGCTAATGGACTACATTGGAAGAACTGGAAGCAGTAAAAAATTAGTGCACGTTAAAATCTCTTACCACTATTATGAAATTGATTCAAATAAAATAAAACTATAATAAAGTGAATTATAAAAACTTAGCACTGTTGTACAGATTAAATAAAAAATTCTCAGTGAAAATAAAATGAACAGAAAAACATACTTGACTTTGGAGCGCAGAGGCAGCACTGCCACGATTTGCAGGGTTGAGATCAAGAAGTGTAGCCAAGAGTGGCTGGGAAGAAGAAGGAAACTTGTGGAAATTCTCTTGGTAAGTAGGTTTGTAATGTTGTGGAGGCCTGTAGCTTGTTGTTAGCTTCAGTTTTTTAAAGTAATCCTCTGGAGGAGAACCACAAAGTTTGAAGATCATGTGAATTTGTTCAACCTATATATTCACATTAAATGTTTACAAGGATCAGCATTTCAAGTGAATGCAAGATGACAACGAAATGATTGATGATCCAACGAAATGGTGCTTTTTTATTATTATTATTATTATTATATGAATCCAGGATTTATTTCCAATGCGATTAAGAACTTGTTAGATCCACAACAAAGTTCGTTTCCCAGATTCTTTTTGTAAAAAAATCTTCCTCTATAGGTTAGAATTTTTTCTATCTCCCTCGCTATATTCACTTTGGTGACGTGTCTTGGTGGCGTGACTTTTTTTTCTCTTCCTTTTCTTTTTTTCTCTCATTTGTAAAGTCTTTTTCAATCACAGATGTCTCTGATATGTTAGACCACACAACAATAAAAAAAACAACAATGATAAGGTTTTTTTTCTCTCTTATATATTGTGAATGTGATATTTTTCAACTTTCTTTTTGGATGATTCATATCACATTAAAAAAGCTTCTTTTGGACGAGTCAGAGATGAAGGATGAATTGGAAACTAATATACTAGAGACATGTTTCATGTGTTGTGCTATGCTTAGAAGAGGTTGATGAATGCCTAAATTTACATCTCTATCACTAATATTGAAATTTAGTAAAAAAAAAAACAAAATAATATATATAAAAAATCTTATATTTAAAAAATAAAAAACAATCAATTAATATATATGGAGTTACCAATTTTCATGTTTTAATTAAGAAATTAATTACATTTTTTTTTCTTTTACAATGTTTTTCAAAATCAGAATGATAATGCAACCTATAAAATTGAAAAATATAATTAAATTTAATAAAATAATATTTTTATAATATAATAAATATATAATATTTATTAGTAATAATAAAAATTTTAAAAAACTATAATAAGATTAAATATAAGATATAATAGAAATTGAAAGATTGATATTTATAAGATATCCTAAAATAATTATTATCTAAAATTCACATATGGTAAAAAAATTAAAAAATATTATATGCTTTAAAAAATTTTAAAGAAATTATATTTTAAAATAACATTAAAAGATTTTATTTTTTTAAATACTAAATTTAATTTAATCCAAAAATCTTTATTTTTGCCTATTTTACTAGTTTGTACTTTTAAAAAAAAAAATTAAACCAATTTGAATAAAATTCAATTTGTTTTAAAACAATTGACCCATTACTGGATCAGTTCCCAATAAAATTGGTCGGGGCGGATATTTAAAAACAGTGTTATTTTACACTTATCAATTAATTTGACAGCTAATTTTAAACTACATTTTGTTAAATTAGCTAATTTATATAGCAAGAAATAAAAACATATTATATATGTAGAAGACATAAACAACAATCTAAAAGTCCATCCAGAATAAAAGTAAGAGGAAGGAGATAGAATTTAAGACAAAAGAACAAAACCAAAAATTCTCCTAACATGCATGAGATTTGACCAGACGATGGAAATTGTAATTTGCAACCTTCTCTTGGAATCGTACGGAAAAGTAGAGCATCTTCAACCGCAAAATAAAAAGTTAATATCCAGATTTAAAAATTGGACGGCAAGGTATTTCTTTCCTAAACTATGATGTTCTCAGCATTGTTATTACCTTTTTGTTTCCACTAACCTTTTGGTCCTTCATCAAACTCCTACAAAAGATCCTTTTCCGACGAAAACCAAACAGAAGAAGACAATTGATTTGTCCAACAGTGCACATATTTTCAAGATTCGAAACATTGGGATGCCATAAAGATTTTTCGTTTCTCTTAATTAGCAAAGTGTTTTTGGTTACCGAAGTGACCTTTTGCCGATTTTGTTGGCAAAGATAACAGTTGATTGCTATGTATTTTGTGGCATAAAGAGGAAGTAGACAAGCCATAAGGTTGGATTTATATATTTGTCGTATTTTCTTAACAGAAAACTTGGTTTTGAAATGCTTTTGAAATTATTTGTAAACATGTGAACATGCATGAAATCGATATGAACGAGAGAATATTATTCTTGACTTTGGAATCTAAAAGTTTCATTCATATGCTAATACTGAAGTTTTACCTCTGTCCTGCCAGGCATAATTGGTCTTCCAACAAACATCTCAGCCAAGAGGCACCCTGCACTCCAGAGATCAATGCTACATCCATAATCGGTTGAACCCAAAAGAAGCTCTGGAGCTCTATACCAAAGTGTTACCACTCTATTTGTTAGAGGCTTTTCAGATTCAATGGAAGTTGCAAGCCCAAAATCTGCAATTTTCAGCACCCCTCTTCTGTCTATTAACAAGTTAGAAGCCTTGATGTCTCGGTGCATAATTCCCCTCTCGTGACAGTGCTGGAGACCAGAAAGAAGCTGCTGCATATAGCACTTGATCTAGTACAAAACAAAACAAAATTAATAAAAAATACTGCATTATTTCACCAGACTCTGCATATCCAAAAGTCATTAAATTGACAACAACATATGTTAATCATTATTCATTCAGTGTCTAACCATCAAAAGTATTGGCTTTACAAATCTTAAAATTTGAGTTTTAAGTTGAAGTTTACAGTTCTGAATGACCAGCAATATCAGATAGTCTAATAGATTCAAAACAGCTTAACGTAATGATATCTTAAAATCTGAATTTTATACTTCATTGATTAAACTCTGAGTTGACAATTTTCTCTCACCTATATTCAATATTTTATTAAATCATTACTGAATATGGATCTGCAACACAAACCATCAGCCTTAGACTGATAGAAAATGAGGTAATAACCGAACCTGTGGTTCGGTGAGTGTCTCCCCCGGTCGAGAGATAATGCGAGTGAGATCAAACTGCATTAAGTCAAAAACTAGATAAAGACTATACTGCATCCTCGATGTTGCTAGTCCTTTAAGCTTGATGATATTGGGATGATCCAGCTTCTGCAGAAACATGATCTCTCTTGCCATAAACTTTATGCTTTCAGAATCCGACGTGTCAAACCGTACCTTCTTCAAAGCTACAATCTTTCTTGTGCCCTTCTCTCTTGCTTTGTACACATTGCTATATGTTCCACGTCCTATCTGCATCCCAAAATGGAAATCCATTTCAGTTCCTCAATGCAAATTTCAGTACTGGCACCGTTAGAGAGGACTTTTGAGGCTTGTACATCACATTTTGTCAATATTATTAAACTCAATCTAATACTATATATTCTTAAAAGATGTTTTCTTCAAAGAAAATTATGTAATAGTAATAATAATAATCTTATATTTATGTGATTTTTTTAATCTTATGATATTGTATAAAATATGCTTTGAATACAATCTTATACTTCTTGAAGTATATGATTTAACAATATATAATACAATGATTAATATATCATGTTAACAAGATAAACTTATCTAATTCCGTTTCATATGTTGTTGGATCTTAATCATGTACGAGAGTTCATAAATTGATTCTATAAAAAAATTTGGACTTATATAAATAATAATGCATGCCATATATATAAGATTACCTTGGCAAGTTTTTCATAAGAATCAGCACTCTTGGGAACAAGCTTAGCCAGAACATTGGCGGGAATGTTATCCAGTAACCACTTTGGCCACCCACCCACAAATTCATTTTTGGATTCCTCAGAATCTTTACTACTCTTACTTTCTTTAGCAGTATCCTCCCATGCCCTAATCTTTTCTTTTTTAGCATCAACTTTTTCCTCGTCTCCTCCTCCTCCTCCTACAACATCTCCACCTGAATCCTTATTGACCCGCACACTAACTCTCTGTCTCTGAGTCTCCCTTGTCACCCTCTCTCCCACATTCGAGGAGCGTGGCCTCGAACCCTTCTTCACAACTCTCTTCACTGCCCGTTTCCGCCTCTCAGCTTGGTGAGGGGGAGAAAACTTGCCACAAACGCATCCCATGAAACCTAGGAACAGATAGCAACAGGATGATAGTGATATATCATGAAACTAAATTTATATTAGTAAGGGTGGAAAGAAGAAGAAGAAGAGAGAGAAGGGGTTGTTAGTTGTGGTTGAATTGATAAGTACAGTAGCAAAGGATTAAGAAGAAGAGGCTAAATGGAAGGCTCCTTCTAAGCTCTGCTGGCATGACCAAGAATGGTGAAAGGATGGTGAGTAGATCTATGCATTATCCATCAACGGTGATCAAATGAGACACTTGAAATTTAATGATTGGATTATTCATGAGACCGACAACTAAGGTTGGTACTAACGAACCGGCCGCATGAAAATTGTTTCCTTCTAAAACTGGCCTTTTACTATACAAGTCAAATTATTAATTAACGTATTCCATATGGATAAAAGAACATAGAGGGAGACTTGACAAAAAGAAAGTGTAAGTGAAGAGAGAAAAAGAATAGAAGTGATTGGATTAAGGAGACATAAAATAAGTTATCATTTTTTTTCTTTATTGTTCTTATTAAAAATAGCTATAATAATCTATATGGATGTAGTTAATATAGAATTTATTGTTGATTAAGATTTAATGGCATGGCAAATCTAACTTTTACCTCTTACTTAATAGTTTTATCCCTTAAATTAAATTTTTTTTTTTGACAAATTTTAATCAACAATAAAACTAATTACGTTCTTTTTTATTATGACATAATACATAATTATATTTTTTTCCAAGTATTCTCGTTAGTTCTACATCGCTCAAGAGCCGAGGTCTATTATAATTTATATACATCTTCCTCTCTTAATACATCGATGCACTTTTTAAGGAAAAAAAAACATGACAGATGAGAGTTTTAAAATGAACAATATCTCAAACATGAGAATTAATCCTATAGATATTATCATAGCGAGCATGAGTATGAGACACTCTCGATCCTAGACGAAACATTTTGGTGCCCACTATAGGACTGAGAGTCGAGTCTCATTCCACTCTCATATATCTTAGTCCTCAACTGGGGAATTATATTTTATTACCCTCATAAGTCTCATATCACTTAGTAGTCGAGGTAAATGGTAATTTATATAGACTCTCATCTCTTAACTCACTCATACATATTTTAAAGACATAAACATGATAATGAGAATTTCAAAGCGGAAAATATCTTAGACAAGGAAATTGACCCTAAAGATATTATCATAATGGACATGAAGTCGAGCAATAATTTTTATAGATGTTAAAATAGATTAGTTCGCCCCTATTTGACCTATCCTGCTAAAAATTGGACGAAGCAAGTTGTATATAAGGATGACAATTAAACTCGTACCCGTGGGGACCGACCCGTCCCCGCCCCGAGTTTGACAGGGAAAACTCAAGTTGACCGGGGCGAGGCGAGGCGGGGTCGGGGTAGGGTTTTCCTCGCTTTAAAAAGTCGGGCGGGGCGGGGATGGGTAATGCAATCCCCACCCCGACTCCGACTTCGACCCCACCCCGCCCCGACTTTATATTTAAATTTAAATTTTAAAATATTAATATTTTAAAAGTATTTCATTTTCTTTTTCTATTACATATAAGGTTATTTTTTTATATTTCACCAAATTTTATTTTTCTTCTACCCATTTTTTAATTTTTTTTATCTTTTTCAATCTTTTATATCAATTAATTTATTATATTATTCTCTCTTATCTTTCAGTTTTTCATATTTCCTTAATCTCTCCCATCAATTTGTTTTTTTTTTCAATCTTTCCAACAAATTTGATGAACACAAAGTTAATTTTTTTTATTCTTTATCTTTTTCTAAATATTTTACATAAATCTTAGTAGTAACTAATATTAGTTTATTTATAATTTATATTTATTATGTTTTATTATGTCATATTTTTTTTATCTTATTATGTTTATTTATCATATATCAAATTTTATCTTAATAAAATAATTGTATTTTAAAGGTTTAAAAGGAATTAATAATTTAAACTTTTATTACTTCAAACTAATTAAATAAGAATTAACTTATTAAATATTTCCTTATAAACTATATATTTCATATTTTTAAATGACAACTTAAAAATGAATTAACTTATATATATAATCAAATGTTTGAATACAGTATTATAATAATAATGTTATAAATATTCAAATATTTGAATACAGTGTTATAATAATAATAATGTTATAAATATTAGATATATATATATATATATATAAATAAAAAATGATTAAATATTTCTTTTACATATATATTTTAATATAAATATAATAAATTAAAATGTATATTTAATTAATAATAATTATAAATTATAAATATTTATGTATATATAAAAATATATACTAAAATTAATTTATTATAAATGTAATTATCTTTTTAAAAATAATATAGATCGGGGACGGGACGGGACTGGGAACCCGAAAACCAGCGGAGACAAGGATGGGGACTTAATTTTTAACTCCGACGGGGATCAAGGCGGGGACGGGGATTTTTAAAAAAGTCGGGAGCGGGGATAGGGGAGGCAAAACCCACCCCGTTGTCATGCCTAGTTGTTCTGTCATAGTTAGAAGTTAGAACGAGTTATAAATCCTGTCAAAGGACAGTAATGCAGATGAACTCATCGATATATTTTTTTATAATCTTTTAAAAATACACCTTTGATTATATGAATAACTTTTAAATATTTATTCATTAATTAATATTTTATTGGATAAAGTTAAAATATTACTATATTTATGTATTAAAATATCTAATTATATTCAATAATTTAAGTTTAATTAGTTAATATTTATAATTTTATAATATATTTAAATATAAAAAAATATTTTTAATTATAATTATTTTTATTTTTATATATAAATATCTTTTTATACTGAGCAACGAGTCAACCTGTCTCACTTCATCTTTGACTCGTCAAATTTATAGATTAAACTGAACGAGTCAAAACGAATTAAAACTATAAATTTGTCTTATTATACCTTAAGTATATATAGTAAACCCACCAAACCTAATCACTTTATCATCTCTATATATTTTTTTCCTTAATTAGAAAACAAAATACCCTTGTAAATTTTAACAAAATTATTATTTGATAAATTCAAAATACCACTAAATAATTAATGTTATTTTGAATTGTCTGTGTTAATTATTTTTTAAAAATAATTATGTAGCATAAAGTTACACAATTTTGAAAATTGTGTTATTATTTTTTTATCTTACAAATTGTTTCATCCAACTACACATTCTTATATGATAATTTTATTAGTTTTAGTAATAACTACTTTTAAAAGTTAAATATGATTTAAACTTAATTAATAGGATAACTTTTACACTGATAGTACCTTTTCCTATATTAAACTATAGTTAAATTGCATCTTTTTTCTCCATCACAAGTTGAAAGTTGGAAAATTTAACTGAAAATGTTAAAATATATTTTTATTATTATTTAAAATTTATAAAAAAGTTATAAAATCACACAAGTCGCACTCTTTGTTTGTCGAAATTCTGTTTATGATTTATGTTTGGTAAAAGTATATATTTTCAACCATGTGAAGTAATTTGCATAGTTTTTAACTGTGATCAAGGGTAAAAAAAGTGTTTATGAAGATATGTTTTTCAAGAATATAGGCTCACCTCGAAATTAAAATCTCATTTCATTCGTACTTCTTAATTCTTAATTAAGAATTTATATTTTAATAGGCCTGTAAGTCTTATATTAATTAAAAATGTAAAAGTTGATGTGAAAAATAATTTATATATAACTTTTTTTTTAATTTACTGTATAATAAACGAAAGTTTCAAAACAAATAATATTTGAACATAAAAATTTATCCTAACAAAAATCATTTTTATAAAAAATTATTCAACACAAAAATATACTTAAATTAATTACAATAATATCTTTTTTTTTCAGTTTTCTTAACAAATATTTCTTATTAGTTTTCATATGTATGTTTATTATGTTACATATTTGAGATGAAAAAAATAAAATAAAAATTAGTAAAAAGTTTTTACATTTATTAGTTTCTTAAAACAAACTTTAAATAACTCATAAACAGATAAAGAAAGAGAGTGTTACTTTTTCTTTCCATCAAATATTTATAATATTGGAGGATAACAACGTGTTTCCAATGGTATGCATCGTTCATTTAAAAAAGTAAGAAGGGAAAGAAAAATGTGTAACATTTTAATTTACCAAAAATGTTACAGATATTTGGAGACAGGATATTATTATTTTATTTTTTTCACCGTTTGTTTCTATATGGATAATTATTGTCGGTAACATGGGTTAATCCATCTTCATTTCTTCAATTTTGTTTTTGTTAACTATAGTAAAAAGGAGTTATAAATTTGAGTAGATTTCAACCTAAAAACTAAATTAATTGACATGAATAAAAGTAATTAACATTTTTTTTAATTAAAGATAATTGAGATAAGCCATGTGACATCAATTAATATATTTATTACAATGAACGAGTTTTAAAACGAATTAAATTTAACATATCAGCCCGTCAATTTTCTTACATGTTTTTTAAAATATATATACACTTTTAATTATATAAATATTTTTACAATTTTCATCTGTTAAATAATATTTTTATTTAATAAATTAAAAAAATATTATATTCTCATATATTAAAATATTTAATTATAATTAATAATTTAAGTTTAATTTATTAATATTTATAATATAAATTATAATATTATAAATATATATTTTTTTAATATATAATATTTTAAATTATAAACTTTTTATTTTAATTTTTAATATATAAATATTTTCTTAAAAATATTCAAAAGATTAACTCATTTCATCTCATCTTAACCCGTTGAATGAATAGATCATATAAAATAAACCATAACCAACTGAGACACTGGAATTACTAATCCAATCCACTAATCTAAGATGAAATTAGGGAATAATCCATCGTCCCTAATCCGATTTGTCGTTACTACCTAGGTAGAATATCCACCTCTCCACCTTTGAATGAGCAATAATCTCGGTACTCCGATTTATCC